GATAAGTTAATCGTACTTAGTACTCACCTTGGAAAATCTTGATGGTGGGCAAGAGAGAGTTGTTTTAGTCAACAATTATTTCTTTTCGTTCAATTCAATGGAGGGTTCTTGAAAATGTTAACAGCTACTAAATTTAGAAGATAAATTTTAGTATATTGGTATATAAGTAAAAGCAAGCCATGAGATTACATTTTTGCACTTGCATCCCCTTCGAAATTTAGGGTATTGAAGTAATTTGATTGATTTTAAACCGTCATTCTCCTCAGTCCTGCAGCTTGCTCTCCTACAGTTTTTGGGTTTTTTTTTTTTGTTTTGTTGTAATTTTGGGATTGACAAATAAGGACACAATTTTGAAAAAAAATTTCAATTAAGAATAAAACTTTTTTTTATTAATCAGGGCTATCATCTTTAAAAAGTTTATAATTAAGGATATAACCTTTGTAATTTTTTCAAGAAGGATTAGAAACTTTTGCAAAGGTACCTTGATTAATAAAAAAAGAAGGGAATATCCTTACTAAAATTTTTTTTGAAAGGTTATATCTTTATTTGTACAAAATCTTGTAATTTCCGAGACAATATTTGTTGTTTCTCCATTTGCCCTTGCTCCTTTTTAAGGCCTTTTTGGTATGGCACTTACTCCTATTCCACTATATTAGTCATTTTAGACTTTTGCATAAGAATTAAGAAAATAATTAATTATCTTTAATTTTAGTGTTAAACTAAATAAACATGCCATCTTACCCTTTTCTTGACCATTTTTTCTTCTAACATAAAACTCCAGCTGCCATTTCACTTTTGCTTTCACCTTTTCTTCTTTCACTGATAAATGGAAATTTTCTAAATCAATAGAGTAGATTTGATGTATTGGGTATAAAAGAGAAAATAAATTCCCATTTTGAAAAGTTTTTCAGATTCATAAGCCCAAAAAGAGTATAGTATATGAAAATGAGGAAGGCGGAGAGTCTGTTTTTTTAGAATGACAAAGCTTAGAGTCATTATGCTTTTATTGAATGGGTAAGAGTGGCAAAATGACAAATAAATAGAAATTAAAATTTATCCCTAAAACCACTAATATATTGGAAGAAAGGGAGTAAAATCTAGTGGAAAGCATATAGTGGTAGCAACTAGTGACAATCAGTAGTGATTAATGGATAACAAAAAAAAAAAAAAGTGACAAACATTAGATAACATATTATAGTTGATGTAATCGTTTGCTTATACAATTGTTATTTGTTGTTATTTGACATTAAATTACTAATAAATAAAGACATGTTTAATGGCAATTAAGTATATATTTTCAATACTTTCTATTATTAAAGTTATTAATTTTTATAAAAATAATAGTAATAAGAAAATAAAATTAATGTTACTCAATCATACTTACAAAAACAAATTAGGTAAAAAAAACACTTAAAATTATACTGTTTCAATAAAATATCATGAGAAAAGGTTAAAATAGTCTTATTCTTGATTTAAAAACTATGATGTTTTAGTGTTTTTGAATAAAATTTTATTAAAAAATCATAATTTTATAGTATTATTTCACCTAGTTTTTTATAAACATGATGATAAACATTTTTTCTATGAAAATAAACAAATAAAATAAATATAAAAGTGTTTATCATCCACGCATTTGTAATTGTAATAAAAAGTTATACTATTTAAAATAAACAAACTTCTAATTATTTTTTCTAAATAGTAAGAGTTTCCTATTTTACATTTTGGATAACTTTAGATTACAAGAACAGATCTATTGGATAAGGAGCCAAAGCGTCAACAACAAAGTCAATTGTTAAGGTTATATAATTCTGAACAACATAAACTATATAATAATTTTTTCAATTAATAAATCAAAAAAATATTTTTTTAACTCAAACTACTTATTAAAATTACTAAAATGTTTCTAATAAAATTTTTTATTATTTTTATTTTAACATTAATTTAATAATTTTAAAATCAAAACTGCACTTTTAATATTATGTAATCTAAATTAAAACACACGAAAACTCGAAGTAAATTTTTTATCAGCAGATTTTTGTTTACCATCCTATCTGGGCTTGTAAGGTTGAGCAGTTGTTATTTTTATCTCTGGTAATTTAAATTAAGGCCTATTTGGTGGAGTTCTTAGAACTTTTATTTTTTTAGTATTGTTTATAAGTTCATAAATTTAAATTTTTATTTAAAAAAATTTAAAAATTATTTTAAAAATAATAAAAAATGAATAAAAAATAAAAAAAAATTATCAAAAGTAAAAGTTTAAACCTTTTTAAAATTTGTTGTTCAAGATTTTTTAAAATTAAAAAAAATTAAAAAAATATAAAAATTTTTTAAAACAATTTAAAATTATCAAATATAAATAGTACCAAAATCCGAAGCAATTACAGCTTTCACCAAACATCATGCTGTGGTATGGGAAAATATGCATCACTCTTCAATCGGTTCGTAGGCTAAAATCAATTTTTAACCCCTAACATTGATAGATTTTAACCTTTAACCTTATAATATAATATTTTTAGTCCTTTACCTTATAAAATTAGTAAGTTTTAACCCTTTACTTAACAAAGTTTGTGGGTTTTAACCTCTCACCTTATACAATGACACTTTTAACCCTTTATCTGTACGAATTGAATAAAATACCCCCACTTAACATCAGGTTATAATATTTTTTTAGTTTTATTAGTTGAGTGTTAATTCTGTTAACTGATTATTAGTTCTATTACCTGACTGTTAGCATCCATTAATATTCCGTTAATAAAACTAACATATAAAATTAAATTTAAATTTCATGTTTTTCTATAACAAAATACTAATAAATGTTAACAGTCAACTAACAGAAC